CTTCACTTAAATTAGCTCCACTTTACTTTGGAAAGATACGAATTTCTGAGAAGTTTGAAAGTTTTGAATCCATGTTTGAGGTAACGGGTTTCGTCGGGCATGCGATTCATGCATAAGCAAGAATTTTGATTGGTTAGTTATGCACAAGCCAGGAAGCGGGCATGTTCAAACTGCATTTGTGCACAAGAAAAAAAACGAGTTAAGTGGGTAAAGTGCATAAAATGATGAAAGATGGGCTGTCAGTGCAAGCGGGAAAGTGGCATGGAACATTTTGAAGAATTTACTCCAGATCTCTGCTTCTCCGCGTGAACCATGTACGATTCGGCGTTTATAAAAATAAATGCGTAAATTTAACATCACAAAACGTGTCCACGTACCTAAAATGCCCCCACCGATTTTTCTCTTTTCACACAACGTGTTTTTGACTAACCACATTACTTCCTTCAATTACATTGCTGCAAGAACTCGACATCTGTGTTTTTGGAAATCTCGATTGAAACTCAAATGTAGTCTTTGATACGTATGTATATTCAGAGGCAGTACTGTCCTACGTAGAAACGTGCTGACGGGGAAAATCGAAAAGAAGTTGGACGATGTCGCCCGGATTAGGACCGCGGACCAGACGGCCCCTGCGCGGAAGCTTATAACACTTGGCCGTCGAACCACGGGAGACTGTTGCCGCGAACCTCTGCTAGGCAGCTAGGCCTCGTATAGAGTAGACGTATGTTATGATCACATGACCCGGACCAGCCGCTCATTTACTTAAGTTCGGCTTGTGCATTAATCGACTTTCTTTCCCGACCCAGTGGCAGATGAAATCAAAGGTCAGTATGCGATGGTCACCACGTCTCGGTGGAGCCTTAGGTGACACTTGCTAGACGAAGTGCCTCTTATTGGTGGTAACCAAATGCGCCAGGGATGGCAGTTGACCAGTGCGGTATTTGGTGGATACAACGACACGTTTAATCCAAGCGCTCTGTTGGGTGGCTTTGGTCAGTACTGACGCAACTGTCTACTATACCCGATGCCCTGGAGCTCCATTTAGGAGGCCTTGAGAGCATAAAAATCGGTGACCAACAAGACATGGAGTGGTTACTAGAGGAGAGTTGCTCAAGTGTTTGTATGAAAGGCGGCTCAGTAGCTTACGCGTAAGGCCGCAGACTGGAAAATGGGCCGAACACTTTGAAGAATTTAGCTGGTCTCCTGCAACTAATCCCAGGAATCAGTTCATACGGGAGAATGGAATGTAACATTGAATCATAAGAATATTGGAAATACTCATGAGAAGGCACCGGGACCAGGTCTGTATTCAGCCTTCTTCACAGAAGGCAGAGAACCCCCCGGTGACCCAGCTGACAAAGCCCACTGGTGCGATATGGAGTAAAGAGAAACTACCTGCAGAATCGAGCATGTCGACAGCTATTCCTATCTTCAGAAAGGGTATGCGGATGTTGCGTGAAAACTATCGTGGCATCAGCTTGGTACCTGCGGCATCAAAGATGCTCTCTGGTCTTACACTTCGAAAGTTGACTGAACACGCAGAGACAGACCCTCGAAAAACAAGCTGGGTTCCGTCCTGCAAGGGGATGTATCAGTCACATTTTCACCTACTGACAAATTCTGGAATGGTTATACAGCTTCCATCAAACAACGATGGTGGTCTCATTTGTCATGAAACCTGTCTTTGACTTCGTCGAAAGTCGGGCAACATGATAGTTCCTATAGAGTAATGGTGCCCCCATTAATTCTTGACCCTCCTCAAGATATCGTACGCCAACTCCCACGGAAGCACTAAGGTCTTCAAGGAGCTCTCATCAAAGTTCCATTGAGTGGTGTCGGGCAAGGCTTTCCTCCTTCACCTATCCTCTTCAACTTTGTCATCGATACTATTATGGAAAACTCACCACCAGCCCCTAAGGCCTGTGAAGTCAAAATGCTCCCGAGGCATTTACACGGATATCGAGTACGCGTACGATCTGACGCCAATGTAATGCAGACCATGTCTAATCGGTGAGACCCAGGAGACCGGCACATTTTACGGTTCATTGGAACCCACCGACAGTATCAAGACCCGCGACAGAGCAACGGATCAGAGCTTACTCGTTCCACACAGCCACATGAACTCTCAGAAATAGCTCAAATGTGCGATATTTTCTACCTGCTTCACATGAGTCAGAACATGAGACCGCTCATTTGGACGGCTCATAATACACAAGACACTTAGACGCTAGTGGTGCATCTGCTGACTGACTATTCGGACTGCAAACATGAAACCTGTATGAAGCAGCTCAGCATACATTAGTGCTATTAACAGTGAATATCTCACACTTCTCCAAGGTAGGTTCCGAGGACAACCTTCGACAGTCGTTCATGTTCCTCCACAAAGAAGCGTGCAACGGATGCTGGATTGCGTTCCAACAAGCCCTGTTCGAACAAGTACTCTAAGCCCTGAAAAGATGCATAAAGAATTACGAAAAATTCAAAAACGTACTTGTTTAGGATTATTATTGAACTCCTGACATCCCAATATTCGTCGACGTTCTGCGGGGTCTTCACTATAAAACGTAACAGGAATCCGAGAAAAGTGCATACCAATCAACGGGAAATCCAAAACTCTCTATCTGACTAGTGACTTCATAGAGTTCCGATTTTATCGCCTGGTCGGAATGTTAGAAAAACGAGTTAATCTACCTCGATGTTCTTGATAACCTGAATTTTCTGTCTCCTTAGGGCCTTTAGTTTTTCTGTTTCGTCTAATGTCAGTTCTTAAATTATCGGATCCTTAGCAAACTGCGAAAAATATAACCAACCATCATATTCCATAACCATTAATCATCCAAACGGAGTCAGCAGTGTGGGCGCGAAGCAACCAAACGGGCAGCAGAAAAATCAGGACTATGATTGGTCGATAGGAAGCACGGATTCAGGTTGACATCAATCAGCTGTTTGTCCAAATTTTCCGAATAGAGTTTGCTCTTTTGTTTCAGTCAACCTCATTTTGACTGAAAAGCGCAAGTTAGGAGGAGGTGCAGTACCATTTGTAGTGTCTGTAATCCGCTGTCACATTTACCGTTCAAGATATTCTCAGCCTTGGGTGGTAAGTTTAGTAGAGAAGTGACTCATCAAACGACATCTAAGGGTGACCTGGAATGTGTCTTAAATACAGCGGGCATAGTGTCGTGTAAGATTGCCCAAATAAAGGCACTTTCCGCTCTCCCACGCAGTTGAACTTCTTCAAGCTGCCAGACCTTCCGCATTGTGATCCCCTACTGTTTATTTTGGCCCATAACTGGTAACATGCCTTCTGCAGCTCCTATACTCTTCCCCCAACACTCTTCACTGCAAGATAATTCCAATAGATTCGAGTGACCACAAGTAAACCGCCTGGTAATGTGGGCCGGCTAGGGCAAGGGGGCTTAAAAAAGATTTTGTGAACAGTCTACCTACATCCCTGTTCTTCCCACCCAGATTCATTAATAGTTACTCAGCTAGCAACGACCTTACTGGCGCACCATTTTGCTGACGCACGTCCCTCACATTCACATATGGTCACACCTGTGCGCGTCAAACACGTCGCCATTTCCTCTAGCTGAACGTCTTCTGTCGTTTTTGAAATCGCGTACTGTCGCCTATATGCAGTAGTTAGAAAATTTAGCCATTATTAGCCACCTGCTTTTTTGAACGACAGTCTAACATTTACCATAGCGCTCTCTGTTAGACCTTTTTGATTCTTTTCTCCATTGTGAGCCCTTAACCTGGATACGAAAAGTCTTATTGCCTTGCATGAATGGTAACAATGCGCCAAGTTGCGCCGGGAATCAAGGCGACAGAGAAGTCAATTAGTGCATGTTTCTTGTGGCCCCACATGAATAGGGATCTAGCAGCCTGGCCGAAAAATGCATCGCCTATCAACCCAGTAAAGTAACTCGGCATACGAGCGCTTCTCTTGGCTCATTTGCAGTTCTTGATGCTCGATTATAACAAGTTCATCTGGATATCGTTCGTCCACTTTCCCCACTAGATGGTTTTACTCATACTCACACCTCGGGTGATCGTTTCACTCGTTGGCAGCAGCTCTACCCGTTTCGGATACTTCAGCTGGACAGGTAGTCTTTTCATTTTCGCAGCGCTGGGTGAGCAGCTTTCGCACACCTGCGTCCGTTATACCGACTGCGGTTCACGATTCCAGTGTAGTCCCTTCCGCGAGTTTTCTACACTATTCAGTTTTCATCACATTTCGACAACCACGTATCATCCCTGTTCCAACGGTCTGGATGAACATTTCCAACCTCAACAGATTCACACAAGACGTGCGTATGAGGGCCGCCCGCGAAGCGAAGCACGTCGCAATTATCATACTGCGACCGACATGCCCAGTCCAGTGGCTTGCTAATGCCTCACCATATGTCCGGCACTTCCCGACCAAGTGTGGTGCATTCACCCACAAAATCATCTCAATGCGATGTATTACGCTAGAAATCCAAGGTGCCACCAACCCTAGATACATTTTGCTGGTTCTGTTCATAATTCCACAAAGTTTTCCCACGACACTGTCGAAGAGTCGGTGTACCAACGACGATAAACCTATGTCCTTGTCCGATACAGCGGGCAAGGATCGGGCATTATCTTTCAGGATGATATTTATAAGCCCATATCACGTACAAGGGGCTGCACCCGGAGTTGCTCACAATACAGAACCGTGTATACCTTGTTGGATGGCGCTAAAGCGAATTGATTGTCGGGAACAATGGTGGATGTCATGTTGGAAAACTTGAAACAGCACAGACCAGATTTCTAAGCATCACCTACAAGACAATCAACACAAAAAGAGCGCGTCTCTACTGATTCCTTTTCTCCACCAATTGTATTTGAACGACATGCGGCAACTAAGAAACCACTTCAACCCTGTTGTGATGGTCCCCTCAAGGCCATCGAACGTCACTCCATACGCTTCGTTTTAGTGAGAACCGGAAAGTATGACACAGTCTCCGTTGACCGTCTTTAGCCTGCCACCATTGAAGCACCCACAACCACATTCAACAATCCTCCTTTTCCGCCAGCACCAGCGCCTACCAAAGATACTCCTACAGCCAGTGTGACTCCTTCCACTATTCGTTCCGGTCGACGCATCCGTTTCCCTCAACACTCAACTGTTCATAAAACTTGAAGTGCGCATACTTTTGATTCACTATTTCTAGCATTCGCGTGTTTTCCTCTTCCAAGGTCCAGGCTCTGGCAGGAGAGTAATGTGGTGTTTTGCATCTTTCGCTTTCATTAGTACATGACGTTTTTGTTTGAATGCGAAAAACGCCCATTGGTAAAATTTTACGCGGTACAAACGAGGTCACGCGCTTTGGCTCTCTTCTGATTTCGCTCGCTCTTACAGCGTATTGTGCATGGCTGCTTCGCAGCAAAAGATTCTCAATATAACGAAAGCTATGGCTGGCGTTTACGTCACATGTAACTGCAGTAGACCCATCTTGCGGTTCGTTTGTTCTAACCAAAGTACATGCATCCGAACTAAATTGGTCAAGTTATCCCAGGACTACAGGAAAATGAGGTGGCTACATAATACTTTACTCATTTGCGAGTTTAATGTGTTACTACTATTCAAACGTTTCAGACTATCTCCGAAATTTATTATATGTGAAAACTGTTCAACAAACCACTGAACGANTGAACGACCATGATTGGACTATTATTTATTCCCTTTCCTGGGCCAACGATGAACTATTTTAAAGAGAACAAACCTTAGTGATTTAATGTAGGAGACTATTTTTGTTGGAGCTCGTTGGACACGCTCAATCGGGGTCATGACTTTCTCGCGTCGCTTTTCTGTCCTTTACGAAGGCGATTAGCCTATATTTTGCTGGTCCCATGTGTTTATATGGTGTGTTTTTGTTTTTGCAGGCGAATCATGCAATCGTGAACATTTTTTAATATTTCACCGGCGTCTTTCTGTCTTTCAGCAGTTCCGCATCCTAAGAAATGCCAGCTTAGCTTTTTCGCTTTCTACATTTATCTTCTTGGAGAATAGCTGGGGTTTTTTCTCCGAAATACACCGGATCTTCCTATGTATCTTTTGGTCCATTCAACTGTGCGGTGTTTATCTTGGAAGAACTCTGTGTCAGCCTCGTGGATATTCTGGATTTTGGTCGCGTATGTCTCTTTCACTGAAATTGGCTCCACTTTAAGTTGGAAAGTTACGCATTTCTAAGAAGTCTGCACCGCGGAAGTTTTGAATCCATATTTGAGGTAACGGGTTCCGTCAGGTGTGTGATTCATGCACAAGCCAGCATTCTGATTGGTCAGTGATGCACAAGCCAGGAAGCAGGCGTGTTCAAACTGCATTTGTGTACAAGCCCATAAAAAACTATTTTAATTTTTAAAGTGCATAAACTAAGGGAAGATGGACTGTCAGTGCAAGCAAGAAACTAGCATGGAACATTTTAAAGAATTTGCTCTGGAAGATTTCTGCTTCTCCGCGTGAACTATGTAAATTCAACGTTTATAAAATAAATAGGTAAACTCGACACCACACAACGTATTCACATTACCTTAAAACGACCTCCATCAAATTATCGCTCTTCAAAAAACGTGTTCATGACTACCCACGTCACTTCCTCCTATAAGCGTTTTGGTAGAACTCAACATTTGTGTTTTCGGAAATCTCGATTGATACTTAACTGCAATCTTGGATGTGTATGCTTATTTAAAAGCGGTAGTGTCCTATGCAGAAACGTGCTAACGGGGAAACTCGAAAAGATTTCGGACGGTGTCGCCCGGATTTGAACCGCGGATCAGAAGGCCCCTGCGCAGAAGCTTTTACCACTGAACCATCGATCCACGGGAGGTTGCTGGCACGAATCTCCCCTAGGCAGCTAGGCCTCGTATAGAATAGTCGTGTGTTACGGCACGGATCACGTGACTCGTGCCAGCCACTCATTTGCCTTAGTTTGGCTTGTGCATGGATCGGCTTTCTCTTCTGAGCCAGCGGCAGATGAAATCAAAAGTCAGTACGCCTTGAGAGCATCAAAATCCCTGACCAGCAAGAAATGCCTGAAGTTGTTACTGGAAGCGAGTTGCTCAAGTGTTTGCATGAAGAGCAGGTCATCATCCGGAGGAATGGACGGCCAAAGGTGGGCGGTGTAGCGCGAAAGGGAGTTGGTCCCATGCAGCGGAATTCGAAACCATAGTGCATCAAAGAAGGTGCAGGAATGGTGTCGAAGAAAACAGTTGGCAAGGCAAGTACAGAGCAGCCCCATCTATCCACCCACGTCGTAAAGCAGCTTAGAAAATGTAGTGACCGCCTCAGTTCGAAGGATCAAAAACATCTGGTGTGGACCGGGTTTTTGTAGGTGTGAGTATGAATGGGTTTTCAAAACGGTTTTCAAGACTTTGAATATTTGGAAGCTTGCCGAGAAGGTAATGGTGATTTAAGCATGAATATTCTAACGTTATTTCTACCGCGCCTGTTATGGAGAGAAGAGAGGTTTTTGTCACCAGAGTGGTTTGCAGACTTGACAGTCCATGGATTTGAAGAAGCTTTGACGTCGTACTTGCCTGCTTCTCGACTTGGTATTTCAGGGAACTGCTTTGGGATTCCAGGCGGGGCAATTTTGTGCGGGTTATTTGTCTTTGGGAAACGCAGTTTCCAACTCGTGGTCGAAAATTCAGCGTATATTCTGGGAAATCTTCCAGTGAATTCAAGGCATCAACCATAACTGAATAAAAATACTCTCTTGTATGAACAAGTAGACTCAATACAGGTACGTGGTGCGGCACTGCCGATGCAATCATTTTTAGGGATCTATAACCTTGTCCTTAAGCTTGAATGCGCCATGACGAAGCTACTTCATCGTCTAACTTTGCAGCGCAACCATAAACTTTAGGTTTTCCCTGATTTCTTTTCCGTGCGCTCGCTAAAACTTCCACTTGACCCATCCATCTTCAATGACCAACCAGCGTCTTTTTCTGCGCAGCATGTAACATAAGAAGTCATTTCTATCGCCAGCCAATATGTCTACTGTTTACCTTGGCCCATAACTGGTAACTCGCCTTCCGCAGCCCATGCTGATGAGTGTTCCTGAACCGTTCCTTAAACTGTCAGTGGTGGCTCTCAAGCTAAAATTTTTCCCTGGCTTGCTTTAATGCAAGATAATCCCAGCAGGCCCGAGTGACCGAAAGCGAGCCGCCCGATAATATGAGCCAGCAGGAAGGACAAGGAGGCTTAGAAAACGCTCTTGTAAACAGCTTTTTTACAGCTCTCTTCTTCCTACCTAGATTCATGGATGGTTACTCGGTACTACGACTGCCATGCCCAGTCCGATGGCTTGCAAGTTCCTCACCATATCTTCGGCACTTCCCGATCAAGCGTGGCACGTTCACTCATAAAATCACCACAGTCCGATGTATTACACTGAAAATCCAAGGTGCCACTCACCCTATCTACTTTTTGCTTGTTCTGTTCATAATTCCACAAAGTTTTCCCATGACATTGTCAAAGAGTCAATGTACCAACGACGATTAACCCACGTCTTCATCCGACACGGAGAGCAAGGATCGGGTATCATCTTTCATGATGATATTTATAAACCCTCAGGACGTTCAAGCGGCTGCAACCGGAGTTGCTCACAATACAGAACCGTGTGTGCCTTGTTGGATGGCCAAGCGCTAAAGCGAATTGATTGTGCAGAAATGTGGCGGATGCCATGCTAGAAAAGTAGATTTTTTCTGAGACCAGTAAAGCTCCGAATTATGGGGAAAGGGAGTGCTATGGATTTTTGAACAGTCCATTTTTAACTTTTTTGCTTGTGGGCATCACAATTTTGTGTGGTAAACCCGTCTAGATAGAAATGCCCCCACGTACTGACAAGCCTGCTCCATTGTCAGTGTTCCTAGTTTTCGTAGGCTGCTTTGGTACCTATTTTGGCGGTTTCTGCCTGTCTACCGCGTCCATGTTATTCACGTCACAGTCACATATAGACAAGTTGCGTAAAAATTCTGCAAGCAGTCTATGTATTGTGCATGACTGCATCGCAGCTGAAGATTCTCAATATAATGAAGGCTATGGCTGGCACTCGCGTAACATGTAACTGCAGTAGATCCATTTTGCGGTTCATTTGTTCCAACGCAGGTACGCGTATCCAAAATAAACAGCTCAAGTGACCCCAGAATTACAGGAAAGTGAGGTAGCTGCATAATAATTTGCTCGATAAGTGGTGCAAAACGAGTGGACGAGTGACCAACTAACTGCAATTATGAGATTAACAGCAAAGCGGTTTTTAAGAGCGAAATCTAAAGCCATGGAAATAAGTTAGCAAAAGGCACATGTCAAGACGGGAATATATAATAGAATGATGTAACTGATGACTAAAACACGCTCGGAGCAGAACTTGGTGGTCTAGACCAATTGTAAAAGCTGTTGCAAGACCGGGTCATCCAAAATAGCTCTAAGGATGGTGGGACAAGAATGGCAAACCTGGGTTAACCACAACAATAATGGATTAGGGCCCAAAAAGTGAAGCATTATGAAAATAAATTAACTTGGTTGTCCCCAAGAAACTTTAATGGATTAGGCCCAAAAAGTGAAGCATTATGAAAATAAATTAACTTGGTTGTCCCCAAGAAACTTTGGGATCACTGATTGGAACGCCAAGGGGGTACACTATGGCCGCTGCATAGGATCAGATGGCATACCCCATAAAATCAGTAACCTGACAAACACAACGCTTCAATAATTTGGAGGGGTGGCATGTTAAAACTTAATCGTATGTCTGCGGAATGAGGGTTTGCGCTCACACGAGAAGTTGAGCGCACACTTTCAAATGAAACAAAGATGCATGGACACGAAATAACAGAAGGAATGGAGGTTTACCGACAAAAGTGTAATGGTCGGCAGACCAGAAGTCAGTTCGGGTGTAACACAGAAGTCTAGCTCGTCCATGGAATAAACAGCTGCGTAGCCAATCTATCAGGATATATATTTGTCTGGCTTTTTGAACACTTGCAAGTGTCTTATTTATTTGTTTTCGCATATTTTTATTTTTCATGCCAAACCTCAAGCACCTGAATCCCGCCCTAGACCTGTCGTCTCCTTCCGATTCCACGTTCGTCTAAGACAAAGACACACGCAGGCCATGAAGCAAATTTCTTTATTGCTAGTTCAGCCGAATTAGGATAACCTGTCCTCATCCCGCAATTAAGGCTCGGACCCTAAGGCTTCCACGTCCTGATCTGGAGTAGGGTACATTGTGACTTTCAACTAACTGACGCGACTTGACGGCATCCCAATCTAATTTGGTGCCGATAGTTTTGGGTATATTCGGATCGCCCGGCGATATCAGCGTTCCCTGCAGTGGTGTGGGGACCCTACTGGAGGATTCCGAGGATGTTTGGGAGGTGGCTGAATTGCAGACTGACCGGGATAAGTTGGCAGTATTGAAGAATCTCATCAGAGAGCGGGCGGGTTGGGCCCTGGATGCTTCCGGATTAGGCAATGGAAAGCTTAAATAAGCCGCTGCAGAGGAAAGTTTTGCAGCAGAGTTCGACACACTAGACAATCGCCAGGAGGCTGAGGTGACCCAACAGTGTTCCTCGCCCGTCTACTACCGCAACTGGATCGTCATTTGTAGATACTGAACGTAGCATCGCGGCACCAGTTGCCGTTTGAACAGTTCGTCAAAGGTCTGCATTCTGCGCTTTGTGCTCAGTTGGGGCTGGCAAGAATAAGGGTCCGGTTGAAAGAAGAGGAACTGACGCAGCAGGCGCTGGAATTGGCCGAGGCGTCACTGGCCACAATGAAGTCGCAGAACG